ACTGCAGTCGTTTTTGGGGCTATTGACGTTCTACGACCGGTTCTTAGAACATCGAGCTACAGTGGCCAACGATCTATATCAGCTCCTGCAGAAAGAAGTCCCATGGACTTGGTCGCCACGCCACCAAGAGTCATTTGTTGCCCTTAAGCAACTACTTCGCAAGTCTACTGTTCTGCGACACTACGACGAAAGGAGACCCCTACTGCTAGCCTGTGACGCATCACCATACGGAGTGGGAGCAGTCCTCTCCCAAGTTGACGACCAGGGACGGGAAGCCCCGATCGCTTTTGCTTCGCGCACCCTATCGCAGGCGGAGAGGAATTATTCCCAGCTAGATAAAGAGGGACTTGCCATCGTCTACGCAGCAGATCACTTTCGGCAGTACATTACATTACCGGCAGGAAAGTGACTTTCATAACAGATCACCGGCCCTTATTGGTATTATGGGTCCCCAGAAGCCCATGCCACAGACATTGTCGCCGCGAATGACACGATGGTGCATCAAGATGTCGGCGTACGATTACGAACTCGTACATCGCACGAGGAAGAAACACCAGAACGCCGACGCACTAAGCCACCTGCCGCTAGACACCACAATAGATGAACCACCCCCGCCGGGTGATATACTCTGTTCGAGGCGCTGCTGAACCCTCCGCTAACAGCTGACACGGTAGCAGCATCAACGCAGGAGTGCACTGTCTTGAAGGAAGTCTACGTAGCTATACAAGAAGGCAACGTGCAGAAGCTAAAGGGTGAACACTTCAACGCTTACCGCAAGCGAGCTGCGGAGTTGAGCACTCATCGGGGTTGCGTCACCTTGGGATCAAGAGATGTAATTCCAGCGGCACTTCGCGAACAGGCCATGTCGCTTGTCCACGCAGGTCATCGAGGCATTGTTGCCATGAAAAAATGCGCCAGCAGTTATATGTGGTGGCCTGGTATCGACCATGATATAGAATTAACAGTTCATGATTGCCAGCCTTGCCAATGCAACCACAGGAGCCCGCCAAGAGCCCCTATTCCTGAATGGGAAAGACCAGACACGCCTTGGCACACCCTGCACATTGATTTTGCTGGACCTATCGAAGGGTGTTCATTCCTGGTGGTTGTAGAGACATACACCAAGTGGCTGGAGGTAAAACAAATGGCTGCAACGACATCGGCAGCAGTTATCGACACTCTGCGGTCGTTGTTTGCAACGTTTGGCCTACCGCGCAAGGTGGTCTCGGACAACGACACTCCATTTGTGTCCACGGAGATTCTCGAGCTTTACAGCGACAACGGCGTCTCGTCTGTTACATCAGCTCCTTACCACCCGGCTACGAACGGACAAGCCGAGCGCTACGTGGCTGAGCTAAAGCGCGCCCTTACTAAAGACCAGACTGGGACAATGCAACGCCGCATCGCGCGCTTTCTTTTCAGACAGCACAACACTGTTCAAAGCACTACTGATCAAACGCCAGCGAAATTGATGTTCGGACGAGAAACGAGAAACCAGCTGACAGCAATTGTCCCGGAGCCCTCAGCGAAAGCACTGTCGGAGGAAGAAAAGCTCCCGCATAGCAGGAGAATTGAAAGTGGACAGCGCATATACGGCCGCCAGTTCCACAGAAAGCCCGGCTGGGTTGAAGAGACGGCACTCAAACGCATAGGTTTGCGGTCATGGCTCGTCGACATTGGTGGAAAGGCCACACGCCGCCACCTTAATCAGCTACGCCGTTCAGGTAATTTGCCAAGGGAACCCCGCATTCAAGCAGCCACCTCGACGGAAGCTTTGTTCCACTTAGCCTGGCATCTCGCACCAGATGAATCGGCGCCGCCGCCTGCCGGCCCTGAACACAAGAGAAACGACACCCAGCGAGCGGAGGCTTCTCTTCCTAGTGCGTCCAGAGCGTCCACGCGCCCACGGCGGCCCCCAGATCGCTTCCAAGCGACAAATTAAGGAGGGAGGAGATATTGTGTTCCAAGCACCCCTGTGTCACGAGCGAGCGTCCGAACTCGCGAAGGACCGGATGCTGAAACTGCTTCCAGATGTTGACTCCTCCCCTTCCCCCGCTCGGCGCAAACGAGCCACCGTCGTTTCCCCCGTCAGTTCGGCCGCCGCCTCCATCCGAATAGGAATAAACTTGTTTTTAACCGTTCGAGGCTGTCTGAGCTTTTTGGACTACCGCGACCAACGCGTACGTCTATGGGCCGACGACAACACCGAACATAACAGCAAGAAAACGCGCTCTCTGTAGAGGATCGTGACATCTAGGCCAAAAAAATGTGGTGGCAATTCAATGGGCAGTCGTCTGTTCCAGAAACGCTGCGGGTAGCTCTCTTGAAACGTCGAATAGCGCATAATTAAAGCAATTTTTTTAATAGGTACACACATGCCGCTGAAATGTCTGTCGTCTTTGTTTCTAAACATCTTAAATGATATCTGTGAAAGTTAATGATACATGTACGGAACAATATCTAGTTTTTTGTGCTTAGTCCATGAAATAGCATGTGAATAGTGGAATAATGTTGACACTTTCTCTCAGATATACATTATCTGTTTCATTTACCAGCACATCTTAGTTGATAATCGATCTTGTAGTAAATAACCCCCTAAAAGGCCCTGTTCTTTACCTTATGAGTGCTTGGTTCTGAATTCACGTTATTTCCTGCTTTTTTTAATGTCATCTCAATAATAATATGGTTTTTATATGTGCGGCTATCAGTAACATTAAGTGCGTGCAAATATTTGAATATTCAAACAAATAATGCAGTATTTGAATTCACTTCCAATCGAATTTAAATTATTGAAAATTTTGAATAATTCAAGATGAATTAATAAATGCATACTAGTCCACATGTTACACTCTGTAAAGGTGGTTTCAATGCAGCGCAGGTGTGCTAAGTCTTTAAAGCACTTAAACAAGTGTATATTAGTTCGCATGTAACTTTTGCAAAAGTGGTTTCACTGCAGTGAAGTGATGCTGAGCCGTGAAAGTACCTGAACAAACGTGTATTTAGTTCGCGTGTAAATTTTGTAAATGTGGCTTCGCTGCAGTGAAGTGATGCTGAACCATCAGAACACATAATCAGGAGGAGTTGGCATTTCCGTGAAGCCCTACTTTAAAGTTAAATGATGATATTACTGTCGCATTGATACACTTTTTTAAAAATATTTTTCTGTTTAAAAGCTCATTATAGCGACTTATATGCTCTAAGTGTAGCAAATTTTAAAAGATTACATATTTTACAGGCTATCACTAGCATTTTACTGAAAGTCATGTCCTGCTACTACTGAAAGTTCTTTTTTTCTTTCTTTGATAAAAAAAAGAAAAGGGCATTTGCATAGGTCTTGTTTCAAATTTTGAAAAATATTGAGCAGGTCATGACTAACAAACCCATTTTTATTTATAATATGCTATATATGTACTGTTCAAATTAGATTCAAATCAAAATTATTTGACCAAAATCATTATTTGCTTTGAACCAAAAATTCCTTATTCGCACAAGCCTAAGTAAGAGGCATTTTTGCTGAATGGCCATAGCATCAGAAGGCCCACTGTGAAGCAGCCACACCACGTTGCAGGTCCACTCCTCTCTTTTCACGATCAATAGTCGACGATTAAAAATGATTGGTCAGCAAACAGATAACTTGATCAATGCTGGCTGCTATCGCGCCCTTCCTCATTTGGGATGTCTATTGATAAATGCATTACTAGTCTAGCTATCCTAACATCACTGCTTCGCTTCAAAGTCTGAGCAATCATTTGGCTTTTGTCAACACTTAATGAAAAGTTTACTTTTATTGTGACACATTGTGGCGCCTGTGCACAGTGAGTTATGTGTGTTGAAAAAACAAAACAAAAAATGATGATCGTATCACCATGATCACTACTTTGTAGAAACTACCTCTTAGCCATACCACTAGAAAATCAGTTACTTGACCAGTTGTTCAACATGGTATCTTATGGATATTGTGTTGGTGATTCGTCTAGATCATACATATTGATACACAACAGTCGGCACAACCTTGCTGCATGAAAGAGAAAGACTACGTCGCTTGCTGGTTGTTGATGAACTGTCGCCATCTTGTTCACCGAACACGGTTCATTGTAAATAATTTAATAAATAAGTTACTCGTAACATTATTTTATATTGAACTAATGTGCTGCGAGAATGTCCTGTAAAGGACTCAATGTTGTGTAAAGTTCTCATAAATGTTTGCATGAAGCACCCAAGATTTGAGGCGTTGCCTATGGCTTTGTGCAAAAGTTCATATTGTCGTATGGTTGTGATGATGATGAAACCCAATTCAGCCAAAAGATGAAATGTTTTTATTGGGTGAACTCGCACCCAGTTCAAAGAGTAGCACTCAAATTACAGTGAAGGTGGCAAGCACTGAAATTTGTTGTTGGTAGTCTGCTTGTCTGTGAAATGTATTCATACAGGCCTTATCGAATGCATTCAGCATTATCACTGGTGCTCGCGCTAGCTGTACAATGAACTTGGTTACTCGCGCCCTGTGCGTAATCTTAAACAGTCTGAAACAAATCGTGAACTTACCATGCATTGTGGTACAGCCTGCATTGAGTGTTGGCAATGAGACTTTAACAGCGAAGTTGTTCTTAGTCGAGCCTTTCGTATCTAGCAGCTGCCGTAGATTGTAAATGGGCATGTGCCACTACTCACACAAGTCCCACAACTCGCCACTGCGTCCACTACCACTCTCCCCACTGCTCTCACTGCACTTACCCTCTTCATTCCCTTTTCAGTAAGCCCCACTGCATTCAAATCCCACTTCATTCAATTGGCTAAAATGACCGGCAAAGCAAAATAGGCCACCAGCTTTGCTGTTTGATCAGCGTCGGCCGCATGGAGCTGGCTGAATTTTCGTTAAGGAAGCGCGATTACATAAAATAAAAAACAAGCAATAAGCGCGCGGGGGCAATGTGGTGCAGCTTTAGTTGAACTTCAGTAAGTGGTTCGGCTGTTACATAGCTCTCCCGACCTTCTTTCAGATGTAGAAGCTGCCGGGGATCTTGTGAAGGCCTCAACACCTTTCGGTAAGTTCTTGTGCGCGGCCATTGTGCACCTATCACTTTAATTCAGTAGTCTGCCACTGTGGTATAGTGGTTACGGGGCTCAGCTGCTGACCTGAAAGTTGCAAGTTCAATCTTGTCCATTCGTGATGTCCGCACATTTATGTAGATGATATGCTAGAGGCCCATGTACTGTGCGATGTCAGTGCTCACTAAAGAACTCCTGATGGTTGACACTTCAGATCCCTGCTTTTAAGTCATGCCTCATGATAACATTGTGGTTTTCGTACATAAAACCCCAGATATGATTACTTCAATTCGGTATTTATGCCATCACCCTACTAGGTTTGAGGTTCCATGTTGGATCCCAGCCATGGCAGGCACATTTTGTCGGCAGTGAAATGAAAAAACAGCTGTGTGCTCTGCACGTAAAGAACTACAGCTGACCAAACTAGATGAGCTTGGCGATTGTGGTGTCGCTAATAATCGTGCAGAGGTTTCGGCACTTATCTTCGAGCAAGTTTGTCATTTTGTGAAGACGAAACCTAAAGCAGTCTGTACCTTTATACAGTCATAGGAGGGGAGTGGTAAGCATTGGATACTGCCAAGTGATCGGCAAGCATTTACACTCAAACCTCATTCTAACAAAGTTTCGTCTTACACGGAAAAAAAAAAAGGTTCGTTATATTCAAAAAATTTTTTTAAAGGTGTAATCTTGACACTGAGTCTATTGAAAGACTATTGTTTATTTATTTCATTATAATTGATATTGCATTATATCTAGCTTCTTTATATCAAGGTTTGAGCATATTGAGCATTTTTGGGCTTTAGCATGCCACAGGAAGAAGGTTGTGGGCTAATGCTTAGTGTACTGTGTACTTAGCTATGAAAAGAATTCGCTACACTCCAATGGACGTAAGGTTGTGAAAAAATGGGTTTGTTGCAACAATTCTCAATGTTCACTCACCATCAATTACTTTCCTAGTTGAAAAGGAAAGGGGATGTCTTTGTCAATACCTTGCAAACAACGCCTCCCAATTAACAGAAATGAATCTGAAAGGCTATGCTTTGCTGTCATCTCTTAACTTAAAAGCCCTCCCTTTTTTTAAGATAGTTTAGCGCAAAACGTTCAAGAGAAAATCGGGTCTTCATTTTCAAATCAAACAAGTTACGGTATAAAATTTGTTCTCCTAAACAACAGGATATAGAGAGTCACGACTTCCTTTTTCTTTATGCACGCCTGTTGACTGCATTAGTAGGAAGACTAGCTTTTGATATTTGTTTCTAGGAACTGGTTTGGTGTTTCTTGTGAGGCAAAGATGAAGACCAATTCATGGTTTTAGTCTCGTACAACTGAGGTCTAGAGAGGCCCTGCCAATACTACCGAAGCACGACAGTCGATAACCATTAGGACTAAGGATACAGTATCGTTCATGCATTTGCCATTGATCTCCTTCAATAGCCTAGTGATTTTGCCACAAATTTTGTCGTTTTAGTACGAGCATCTTCTGCGGTTGCCTTGCCGATGACGAAGCGGCGGCAGCACGCTGAAGCCCCGGCAACTGCGAGGTGGAAGAGAGTGCTCGTTAGTGCGCGCGAGGCGGGCGTGTGGGCCCACGCTGCTCTTGCCACCATGAAAGCGTGAGCGCCTAGTATGCCTTCCCTCTCCCTTGAAACAAACAAGCAAACAAGAAAAGTACTTTTCACTTAGTAGCACCACTGTTGTTTGGTTGCTGCAGAAGTCTCTTTGAACTGCACTTCGTTAAAGTGGCACCAGCTGATGCTACTGAAAAAAAAAAAAGAAATCTGCGTCATTTCACATCAAGCTCTCGTTGCCGCATATGTGGGACCACTCTTCATATGGAGAGCACTTTTCTGAGTTGTATTCTATGGTAGTGTCGTTCGCCCTTCATTTTCGATGCTACGCATGCATTCATGAGTTTACTGTTGGCGCGTGGAGTGGCCTCCAATAATGTTGAGCCATGCATTCTTTATTTTTATGCAGACAACTGTGTTGTCACTACAGAGGAGATGTCGGATTAGGTGCTGGTAGAAACTGTTGAAGGCCATGGGGACAATGACAGGTCTTTGGAGGCCCACTTGTTCCACGCCTTGATGTCTTGTGCTGCGCTGTGGGTTTGTTAGACTGTGGCCTTTGAGATTCTGGCAACGCTTCGTCCTGTTGCCTAGGCCAATCTCAGAGGCCTCGTTGTCCAGGATTGCCATTCCTCGAGAGCACTAGGGCAACAAAGTCAGTTTCACTGCAAGGGCAAAATGACTAATACATTCACAACAAATTCTAGTGCTCCACGTAGTAGGGCTGGTAGCTAGCTCTTTTCGGTGCGATATCACGTAACTCTACAAAACACTGGTGTAAGAGAATGCGGCCGCTCCAGGTAGAAATGTTTCACACACTTACTGCTGGGAGCGCAGCACATCGAAGGGTACATGAGCCATATGCTGACACTTATCAAGATGGCACATGCGCGAACGATCGCAACCGCACCCTTAAAAAAAAAATGTTAGGCCAGTGCGGTAGGCACAGCACATTCACAGCGAAAGCTAGAAGAGCAGCCTTTCAGAGAGTTTTCAAAACACTCATTGGGTAACTGCTGCAAACACACGTGCTTGGTACCCACTAGGGCGTTCATAATAAACTTTTGGGTAGTAGGCCAGCATTCGCTATGCTATTTTTCGTCAGTCTTCTGAGAAGCGTGGTATCCGCTAAACACTTGCAAAAAATGTTGTGCCAATTGTTCATGCAGTGGCTGACAACGGTGAGAAATTAAGGTTGAAGTGGGTATGCGCCACAGTTAATAGGGAAACAAGAACAAGCTTTTGTAATGGGTTGGAGCATTGGGCGGCCCACTTGTTACACTAATCGCGTTGTGCGACGACTGGTTGTTCTTTCACTGATGTAAAACGCTTTATGAGTCGTATTTACACGATTGCGCTACCGACATCAAGCCTGCCTAAGGCAAGTTTGACAACAACTCACAAGCACCGGAGTAGCTCAGTGGTAGAATACTGGGCTGGCACCCAGCGGACCCGGGTTCGAGCCCCACTGTGCCATTGGTGCTAGGTCATGACTGCCTAAGGCAAGTTTGACAAGTTACAAGCTCCGGCGTAACTCAGTGGTAGAATACTGGGCTGGCACCCAGCGGACCCGGGTTCGAGCCCCACTGTGCCATTAGTGCTAGGTCATGACTGCCTAAGGCAAGTTTGATAAGTTACAAGCATCGGCGTAACTCAGTGGTAGAATATTAGGCTGGCACCTAGCAAAACCGGGTTCAAGCCCCACTGTTTCATTGGTGCGAGTTTTTTTTTTCTTATTTCTCGCGATGTGGTTACGGACACTGGGGGCGGCGGCAGACACGTGCAACTGCGTGTGACCCGAGTTGTGATCTCTTAACAGCTTTCACTGTAGAAAATCTAAGTTCAGTGCTGCACAAGCAAGCTCACCCTCCCCCCATTCAATGGCAGGTCTAACATACTGTTGGGGGGGGTGGGAGTGGGGGGGCAGGAGGGTAGGATGTTGTCATTGCCTTCTCCAAGTGAAGGGCTGGCTCGTTTGATCTCCGCTTCCGCAGCGCTCGTTGCCTCCGCTAGCACGCTTTTATGTGCAGGTAGAACTCAGCGATGTGCAGGAGGACATAATTAATTTGGACTTTTTAGGAACATGACAACGGCAAAAATCCATCAAGTGATTGATATCGGAGAACAGTTTTTTTACCTCTTTTGGGTGAGCAGCGCCTTCAGTTTCCTTTTCGTTTAATATGTGCATTTCTTGTTGAATTTTTTTTACGTAGTTGCATATAATCAAAACTTGTTTGTAATGAATTTTTGAAGCATTAGTCAATTTTTATAAGTGCAACATTAATATTGGTTTAGTCTTCAAGATTGAGGTGCAACATATTTTTTCTCCTTTTCATTTCTAACATATGCAGCTGGCCAGGTTCCAAAGATTGCCAGAGATTCGCTTGGCACACGCCAGTCCGAGTCGGACGAAGTATTCAAGGTGAGTGTACGGTGCTCTAACTTGACCCCTAATTGCAAATACGCAATTAGGGGTTGATCGGTGTGGCACTTAAAAGGGCCCTGCAATACTTTTTGAGCATGGTCAGAAAATGCTGCCACTTTGTAGTTGAGGCTTCCGGGAATACCCGAGGCTAATAATATACAGTTAAACCTGGATATAACGAAATTGACAAATTCCCAGAAAAATTCATTACTAAGAGGTTTTTGTTATATGCAGGTTTGGTACGAAAATTAGGAAAAGAAACGTGCAAATTAAACAAAAGGGGGCTGAAGGCAGAGCTAACCCCAAACACTCATTTTACAGTAAAAAACTGCATTATTATTGCGATAGCAATTATATGGACACTCTCGGCGGGTTCTCGGTGTCGCCGCCATGTTCCGCAAAAAGTCCAAATTGACAACTTGCCCCTGTGCATTGTAATACCCATGCCACATGGGCATAGAAAATGACATTCGGTAGCGAAGGCATTCAGTTCCCCAATGACATTTTTTCCGGCGGCGCTGCTACACGTCCAAAGCGAATGACATTTGACTTGATGATGTCGATCGCAGCACCTTCCTTGTGACCATCGGATGAGGAGCAATAAAAAAACAAACAAGCGTTTACAAGCTTCATACACATCCGATAATATATAAAAGTATAAATAAGCATATTACGCTGCCGTTAGATTTCGTTCGTTACTTTGTTTCATGACGTTGACACCGACTGTGTAGCAACTTGAGCCAAAGCTAGTGAGATCCGCAGCGTAGAAAGAAAATGGCGCCTGGCGCATTTATTCACAGCGCCTACCAGCTGAAGAGAAGTTTTTAAGCAGTTTTTAAAGTGATTAGTGTAAATAAAACACGCAAAAAGTTTTCTTCCAGTAGAATCAAACGTCATTTTATACAATTACTTCATCAGCTGTGGCGTCGAGAGTACGCATTTCTCAGTCGAATGAGTTCTGGCGATGGCATTTGGTGACGAATGGCATTTTGGCGAATGCCATTTCGTTCATCTGTGTGGCACCGCGCGAATGACCTTCAATCTGAAGGCATTAGAAGGTAAATGCTATTTTCTCCGCCCGTGTGGCACGGGTGTAACTTTCACAAGTGGGTAAAAGCGTGTGAGCGCTGCTGAAGCAGAAATCAAATGAGTCGGCCGATCCCTATCGCCTGGAAAATGCTTAACATCTCCCGCGTGTTAGAACTGCCATCAAATGCTCAAACAAAGTAAACCACCTGTCTTAAACGAGCTTGAAGCAACAAGGGGAGGGGGGTCGCTCGAGTAGCGATAATGAACTTTGATATTAAGAGCGGTCGCGATCGCTTGCGCGCTTGCTATCTCGGTGAGTATCAGTGCGGTTTCAACGCGAAGGCACTGTGTGAAAAGAGCAAAGGCAATCGTTCCGGTCAAAGTCAAGGGCCCGCAATTCTCCCCACCGAAGGATGAGCGCGCGCGCACATGCATCTAACCCTCCTTTCCCCCCTCCGCATTCGCGGGGCAAAGTACGCGTGGGAGATAGGCGCCCGTTGGCACGTCTTGACGAGCTGAGCGCCGAGCGCGGGCTGCTTTTTTTTTTTCTTTTTGAGTTTCCGTATATTTAGGTACATATACATATACTATCCATATACGGTGAACGAAGGCATAGGCTGCAAAAACCCAGCTGAAACTGCCCATATACATATTTGCTATCACAATACCAAAATAGCAAAGCAAAACGTCACCGGGGGACACACCATATGCGCGCGTGCATGGCGTCGAAAACGAAGAGCGGACGACGCGGACACAGGCGCGGTTTCCGCGAAAACTATTTGGTAAAGCGCCCTCCATATGCAGCGCGGCCCCATATACCTGACGCTAACTAAAAGCGCGAAAGTAGTTTTTTTTTATTTTGGTTTGGAGTGGGGGAGGGGGAGGGCTGCTCGCCTGACGCAGACGCAGCCCCCGTGCCCGCCGCCACCACTTCGGCGGCGGCGGGGCAGCGGCGAAAGATGCATGCTCGTACCAAAAAGCCGAAATGCGGAGCGAAATTCCAAGAGTGTCCGTGGCGAAAATCCATTATATCAAGGTTGTCTCCCGCAGTTACTATGTTACATAGAGGTCGCAAATACATGTGCTCCTATGGAGCGACGGCGGGGAATAGAAAAGTTTCGCTATATTCAGAAATTTGTTATATGGAGGTTCGTTATAAGCAGGTTTAACTGCAGCGCAATATGTTGCCCATAATTCACCATAAATTTTCAAAGTCAGCTGAAAACCGTTTTCTTTTTCTTGTCAACTGACAGATCAAGTTCAGAAATCACTCGTTACTGCAGTTTGAATAGCCATTGGCGGATTTGAGCATAGCGCTCTTGTTCGTTGCGGGGCCTACAGGGGGAGGCTGCAACTTGCCCACCCATGTGTGCGCGATCACACTGAAAAGCCAAGTATCGGAAGGAAAAAAAAAACTAGAAAAAGCGCTCAAGGTCACGAGGCCCGCAGTATGTTTTTTCTTTCCCCGCGCTATCTCTCCCTGCGTAGTCTCTAGCGCTTTTGTCAGGACGAGAGGAAAGAGAATGCATTTGTAGCGTGCGACAAATCTCTGCAACTCCGCTCGCACTTGACGGATTTAAAAAATTTTTGCGGCAATGATTTTGTGAGGCAAAATGCTTTAGTGAATCCATGCTATGGCTACTTGAGAAAGCGTTGCAGGGCCCCTGTAAGAACAGCATCACCTTCATCTAAGATTGCAAAAGAGTTGGCAATGGTTGTGTTGGTTGCCAAGTGCAGTGCTCCTGCAGTGTTTCAGACTGTGCGACTGATGGAGTGCAATTTCGTTGCAGTCTACTTCCACTTAGAATCTCTCTGGTTTTACTTTGATGGGTCGCTGATCTGTAGTTGACCTTTCCTATGGCAAAAGCATCGTACAATCTAGATGTATGCATGGTCACTGTGTTGAAGTGAGAATATTCCGCAAAATGACTCATTCTGAAGAAACCTTTGTTTATGGCTTTTTTTTTTTTTGAGGGGGTAGGCAACTGAATGACAATTAAAACAAATTTTCCGTATGGCAGAAATTTCATTGTTGGGGGTGGTGTTTGCTGTAGTTAGTTGAACAGTAACGGTAAACCAACAGGCTCAAATACAAAGTTTATGAGTAGAGTACGTTTGCAGCACGTTTGTGCTTTTGTATTGCATTATGGCTTCATTAATCTTTCATGTCTCTTATCGGCAACGTTATTCACAAGTACTTTTTTTTCTCTCATAGAAGCCACATGAATCTAACATTCTGGATGCATCGTGGACTTCAGGGACCTCCCCCTCTGTTTACAATCAGCAGCCTTTTCGTAAGTACAGCAGACTTCAGTTGATTCTCTCCTGGTAAACCCAACAACAGTTGTCAAAAGTATTGCCATGTTGAATGAAGCACCGATACACAATGCTGAATCAAATATGCACACCCTTTTTATAGACGGAAAGCTGAAATATTAAAGAAAAAATCACATTGCATAATGGTAAATCAAGCCCACAGTAATAATTACACACTCAAACCTCAATACAACAAACCCAAATATAATGAAATATTGCTTATAATAAAGCAAATGAAGACTCGTTTTGCAATAAGCATAGTGTTAGGAATTTACCTTTATAACGAATTTTGGGATATAAAAAACATGTAAGATGCAACTTTGTTAAAGTGAGGTTTGACTTACTACAAATATTTGATAGCTACTTTGCATCATCTAAAGGCCTAAAGGAGAACTCCGGCGTTTTTTTCGATATTCACCAATTTCAATAAAAATTTTAACATGTATTCGCGTTAGGTACCATGGTGATATGTGCCAAATTATACAACCATGAGTTATTTATTTTTTTAGGAAAACAAATTTTAAATTGATACCTGATTCTGGAATCACACTTGTAAACGCGAGCCGCCCTGTGTATATGACGTCAGGGCCTACTCTTTTTTCAAAAACCTTGCCTTTCCCAGCAGATGGATGCAGTGCACGCTCTCTCCAACGAGGTGACGACAGTGCGAGCGCAGTTCAGCTTTGTCAGCTCTATAAGTGTGTTAGTAGTTGTAATGGCGTGTCTTGCAATATTGAGCAACGAGGAAATCGATTCGGGGCATGTCAGATGCTTCAGGCGCCAGAGGGTGGGGTCGAAATCAAAAAATAATGCTTCCATACTCAGACAGTAGCTACAATCATCGCTGAATTTGTCACTGGTAAGTACAGATGAGCGGCGCAGCTTGATTCCACGTTCGATGACATCGCCAACTTGCTTTTCGCGCATCAGAAAATCGAGGCACGTGAGCTATGTTTACACCTTGGCCAGCCGTGGTGAAGTGTAGTGGATCTCGTGACGTCGTGGGCGACGGATTCTTGTGACGTCGTAGGATACCTACCATGGACAACAGAACCACTCCCTGTTTCGGTTTCTGTTTTGACTCGTCGTTTTTTGACATTGAAATGATTGACAAGTGCCTGGGCAGTATGAAAGAACCCTATCTCTTCGGGACTGTCAATACTATTTGAAAACAGCATTATCTCAGTATGGGTGAAAATGCACCGGAGTTCCCCTTTAGGAGCTGTCTTGAATCAAGGATAACAGGAATAAAAAGCTAAAAGAAAAAGTACAAGCTTGCTAAGAAAATGAATACACTAGTACTTAAGAAACAAATTGTTGCTGTAGCAGGTGGCACGGACTTAACTCTAGCAGGAATAGCCTGCTTTCAGCAGGTGGGCATGATTGCACGTGCTCTTTCTTGACAGGGTTCAGAATACAGCTAGTACCTTTGTACAGTCGCCGACCGATTTTTCGGACTCCAAAAATTCGCACTTGTTGCCTTCGATGCCAAACTTCGGTGCCATACTGGTCGCTGCCGGAAGTCACATCCCTAAGGCTCATAAATGGCAGACGTAGAGCTATCAGGCGTTCTTCATCAGAGCTGAGAGCAGGCAAGTGAGGGGGCTTGAGAGGATATCGGTACGTGTGCGTAACACTTATTGTAGGAACTTGTCACGTGCCATTGTGCCTTCGAAGGGACGAGAGCGACGTTGACGAAGTAAGAGAAGGCGAGCGCGCGTGCCATCGAAAACCGACGCCTTGGGTAGTGGTGCACCGTCTAGTGAGCTTTGTTGGAATCATCGGAGAAGCGACCAGAGCAGCGACCTTGAGGGGCACTGGAGAAGAGTACATTGGCAACAATGGTGTACACCCCGCCAGCCGCCTCTAGACAAGCTGCGACCAATAGAGGCATGGCGACCAAGCTCCTATAACATTATCAGCCTAGAATGTTCATGGATAGAGGTGGATTTCCTAGTAACGCAACAATTTTAAAGTTTATTTAGGATGCTGGCATATTCTGAGCTGTTCACACCAGGTTTATCTTGTGTCCATTCAACATTGGATCTTTCGCCAAGTGTGACATACTGTATGCATGTTCCTCTGGGCCCTTCCTACTGTTCAAAAGTGCCCTGATGAAACAGTAGGGTTACAGTGTACTAGAAGGAGAAGTGTGTCGTTCGGCGCCGGAAAAAGGGTCCTTCTAGCGATGACCGCTCCGTGCGCGACTAGAGGGCGCTGCTGGCTAAAAGAGCGCTACGCTCGCTACTGTGATGGCTCTGTGAGCGGGCTGTGTGGCCGATTTATGTATTGTTAGGAGTTGTCGTCACGACTTTTTATGTTACAAATGCGACTTAATAGTGAAATTCAGCCCTTGTGCATAGGCACTAGTCGTTCTCTCGCTTTAACGTGTCTACACATAAACACCCGACTACGATTCGATGAGGTCGTTTACACCAGCCGAACATGTTTCTCCTCGAAGTTACTAAATTTTATATAGTAGTGATGTACTTTCAATTAGTATTGGGTGAATTTCAACGTATTAACTTATAGAGCTTAAGTATCTACTATTTGCATACAAGTGTCTCTGTCCGGTCCTGTGTGTTTTATATCTTTTATATTGCTTCGCATACTAAATGGTCAGGAAGCGTCAATCTAAGGCCTATAAGTCTTTCAGCTCAAGCTAATTTTTGGGCTGCTAAGCTTGGCTTTCGGTCTCCGAAGGTTATGTCGTATATTGCAAGGACTTCGTTTCGTAAACATCTTCTGACATCGTCTTCTGGAAAGCTGGATCAGTATTAGCTTTTTCTAATATTTGCAGTGGACACAAGCACTGAGGTCATTTACTACAAGCGTGCAGTTCTTCAAAGAGAACAACCCTCTAAACGCTCGATGGGCATTTACTATAGATAGCTAAAAGCTCCATTCCCAGGCCGGAACACAAAGTCAATTTGCTGACATTCTTTATCAGCAACTCTGCCTCTTCTCATGCTACGAGTTTTTGGCGCCACTTCTTTCCTCTTATGAGAACTTCGGCGTTTGCAGCACCTTCAGCAGCTTGCTTCTTGATTTGAATGAGTTTTTTCAATGCTACCTATCTATGTTCAACAGCGTCGGCTTCCAACTTAGCCTAAAGAAATCAGTCCCCGACACACGGCAGGAAAATTTCTGACCACTCATTTGGAATCGTGAGCTTTGAAAATGACAGCCCTTGAAATTCTTGGTCACGAGCTTTATCAGTGGCACCATCTCGGCCTACACTATTCGACATTCTTTGGCATTTATGTTCAGGAACATCATCGACTGAACTGCCTCTATCAACGTCGTTCGACTCAACTTCTGACAACGTGTTGCTCTCACGTCTTCGCTTCGGTTTGGGGAGAATCTGATATCGTCAAAGTTGTGATTCTTCCGTTTTTTTGGCAGCGATTTTGAAAGGTATTTAGGAGCATCAGGGAAAATTGTAGGAATGGCACCTTTTGATAAGAGTGGTAAGTCTCTGGGGGGGTCTTAATAACCTTTGCGTCGATATAGTCGTCTTGAAAGTTCGCTGTATGAACGTTGCTTCGAACTGTCGCTCACAAACAGTGCTGCTCTTGTTGAAGACTAGATCACCTCTCTTGATGTTCCGCGACCATTTTTCCCGGCGCTCAGGTTCAACGGCACCCGAAATAAGGAGTGCGCCTCTTTACACGAACGGTAGCCGCTGTTACGATTTGGCACAAAGCAAAAGTCGTCTCCTTTGTACCGTCGTCTCTCAGCCATATTTTTCTCATTCCAGTAGACAAGTGCAAACACCATCGCAATTTCTTCAGTCACATACAGCACAATCTGGCGAGGAGCAGAGTTATTCCATGCGAGAAATACCAGCAACGAGGAACTGGTCACGCGTTAACAGCCAAACTAACAGTGCAACATGTGTTGACACACGCGCTCCTCTGGGTCGCAGCGTCCCCTAACGCCCCAGGCTGTACTCAACCTGCTTCATCGCTGCGGGGGCCCCCTCGTCTTCATTGGAACACGCCGCACACAGCACACTTCCCCTTCTAGTACACTGTAGTCATCATCATCATCAGCCTGACTACGTCCACTGCAGGACAAAGGCCTCTCCCATGTTCCGCCAGTTAACCCGGTCCTGTGCTTGCTGCTGCCAATTTATACCCGCAAACTTCTTAATCTCATCTGCCCACCTAACCTTTTGTCTCCCCCTAACCCGTTTTCCTTCTCTGGGAATCCAGTTATTTACCCTTAACGACCAGCGGTTATCCTGTCTACGCACTACATGCCCGGCCCATGTCCATATCTTCTTCTTGATTTCAGATATGATATCCTTAACCCCCGTTTGTTCCCTAATCCACTCTGCTCTCTTCTTGTCTCTTAAGGTTACACCTATTATTTTTCTTTCCATTGCTCGCTGCGTCGTCTTCAATTTAAGCTGAACCCTCTTTGTAAGTCTCCAGGTTTCTGCTCCGTAGCTAAGTACCGGCAAGATACAGCTGTTATATACCTTTCTCTTAAGGGATAGTGGCGATCTACCTGTCATAATTTGAGAGTGCTTGCCAAATGTGCTCCACTCCATTCTTATTCTTCTAGTTACTTCAATCTCGTGGTTCGGCTCCGCGGTTATTACCTGCCTTAAGTAGACTTAGTCTTTTACAACTTGAAGTGCACTATTAGCTATCTCGAAGCGCTGCTCTTTTCTGAGGTTGTTGTACATTACTTTCGTTTTCTGCAGATTCATTTTAAGACCTACCTTCCTGCTCTCCTTGTCTACCTCCGTAATCATGAGTTGCAATTCGTCCCCTGAGTTACTCAGCAGTGCAATGTCATCGGCGAAGCGCAGGTTACTAAGGTACTTTTCATTAACTCTTATACCTAACTGTTTCCATTCTAGGCTTCTGAAAACCTCCTGTAAGCACACGGTAAATAGCATTGGGGAGATTGTGTCCCCCTGCCTTACACCCTTCTTGATTGGTATTCTGTTGCTTTCTTTATGAAG